TAAAGTGCAGGTCCCACATGTGTAAAAATAATACTCTCTGTCCTTATTTAGTTGTCTACTTTAGAAGTGACACAAATATTAACGCATCAATTATTATCATAGGTTAGTTACTGTTTAACCATTAACTTAAAAGATTATGCAACTCTCAAATATAATAAATGTATTTTCTGGTTTCAAAAAACATGCATTACAACTCTATATTATTAAAAATTTTCTAGAATTAAATAAAGACATTTTAGAAAAAAATTATTATCTTTTCTTGATTTATTAAAATAGACAAGTAAATAAAGAATACATACTAAAAAAATATGAACAAATAAATAGAGATACTAAGTAAATAGAGACGGGAAATAGTAATAAAGTACTCCCTCATATATTGTGCCTCATTAGTAATAAAATTTTTCGCAAAACCCTATTTCCCTTTGTCGGCTTTTCCGCCAAAAAATACGTCATTATACTACCCACACCCTCTATATAAATTAAATCTCAATTTTTATTCATTATCTTTGATTCAAAAAGATTAGGTTTTGGCAATAGAGGAGACGCGGAGCTTAGAGGCATCCATGGCTACGGACCACTCTGATGATTTAGACCAACTTCTTGACAGTAAGTAGCAAACACCCTTTTACCCATTTCGACCAATTTATTTCTATTAACCTGTTTCTTGCCTATATAGTCAGTTGCTTTGGAGTGAATACAGTGTTTGATATTAATGTTTTTTTTCACACCGAAAGCAACAGTTATGAGGTAAGTGTTTGATTTTGAGGAGAAGATTGAATTGATTTTGATTGGAAATTCATTATTTTTAGGTGCTTTGGATGATTTTCAGAGCCTCAATCTCACTACTGCTTCTCAAAGGTTTTTTCTGCTTTCTCTTGTGGCATGTAAATCTTTACTTATGTTTTAGCTAATGGGGTTGAATTTTGAGCTGTGATTGAAAAGGGTTGATTTTGATTGTAGAAATGGGGATGGAGAGGGCAAGAAAGAGAGTTCTTGTATGCCTAGTGAGGTTCAAGGGCTTGGGATGTCGTTACCCAATTTGAAAGCTAAGAATAAAGGGAAGCAAAAGGCTGCCAAGGAGGTGAAGGACTCGCATGTCTCGGAAGCTCTTGATAAGCTTAGAGAGCAGACAAGAGAGGCTGTTAAAGGATTGGAATCAGTGGCAGGGCCAAGACCCAGTGTGGAGAACTTTGGAAGTGATCCAATGATGGAGGATTGGGTCAAACAGTTTGAGGAGCTGGCTGGTTCTCAGGTATATTTCTTATGCTTTTTTAATGTTTAAGTTTGTTGCTTTTTTCTCTTTAGTTCTTTCTAATGAATAGTGGCCCATTTTGTGGGTTTATACTGGTGTATGTTTTGTATGGAACGGTGAATATTGAAACTGCAAAATATCCATCTCTTGTGAAGCTTCATAGTTGAGTGTGAAGTCCCTTTCAGAAAATTTGTATAATGATCGAGACATTTGGTTCTCCTACATATGGATGTTCGGGAAAGGGAGGGTGATGAGGAAAGAGGATGTTAATATATTGATATAGTTAAGAGAAAGCATTTTGCTTCATTATGAACATAATTAATATTTTCAGCTGACTAAATGATTGCTTCTATGCATGGGAAACTTTTGGTGATGAATTGATGTAAGATCTCAAGGCTTTTCAATGATTTTAAACATTCTGCAGATTGTGGAAGTTGTTGTAGTCTTGTTTTTAGTTGGCTTGTTAAGTATGTTTGGACCAACATATACTGTATAAATCAGTTCGAATCGCATATGTTGATCTGTCCTAATCAAAAATAAAATAAAATTGCATATGTAGATCAGTGGACTAAGGAAGCTGAATGAAACTTCTTGTTCCAAAGAATGAATTTCATTAAATTGTTTGGTTTTGTTGACTGAATCCTCCAAAGTAGAGAACTGCCACACTTCTAAAGACCCTTTGGAGGAACCTATCCAGGACGTGCCCCTTTCAAAGCCTATTACATTCTTAGGTCCTGTTTCCTCTACTTTGGGATTTCTCTGCTTAGGATTTTGGATATCATTATTGATTTATATGCTACTTTACTTTTCAATATCTAGCTGTTTGAATAGCTTGTTTTTCCTGGTAAGGAAATTGTTCTGGTTATGAAGGTTCAGCTTTGGCTAGATCTCTGTTTCATCTTCTTGATTCCTCCTACTTAATAACGCAAATGAAGTACAGTTATGGATCATATAAGAATAACGTAGGACTGTTAAGAGCAAAGCGCTGAGACAGCTTTCTCATTGGCTGGAGTGGGGGACAACATTGGAATGTTAATTACAACAGTCTTTTAAAAATAGAGGTGGACAATATTGAACATGATGAAACATTTGAATGCGTTGAATGAGAAATTAGAAAGACTCAATAGTTTTGTACTAATTGAATGGGAGGCTAGAAAGAGTTTGGTTGCTGTGCACTTTTGGATTAAGGTGTTATATGGTTTGGAATCTGCACTATTGGCTTGGCATAGGTTTCTTTGTCTATCAGAGCCATGAAAGGTGTTCACAGCTTGGATTTGCTTTGAAGTTTTGGTTACCTATAGTATGAAAGCTTCCAGTTGCCTTATTCTCTTTTTCTTTTCTGTTAATAAGTCAAATTGCCTCTCTATCTCCACGAGGTAGTGGTAAGGTCTGCGTACGCTATACCTGCTCAAACCCTACTTAGTGGGATTGCACTGGGTTTGTTGTTGTTAATAAGCCAAAATCATTCTATCAATTGCACCACCATTGTACCTCAGATAACACAACACGACTATTTTACTAAGCCTTTTAAAAGTCCATTGTACTATCTAAAACATAAAGAGATACCTTATGTACACCAAAAAGTACAAAAGAAATTTAGTAGCGAATAGCTCCTAAAATGTTCAATTCCTTTGTTTTCTGTTCATTTTCTGCGATCATCCAGAATGTCCATGTAGGGACTAAGCATTCTCTCTAGTGCATTTATTATTCTTATATGTTTCTTCTTCTAACTTGTTTGGAATGGATTTGTAACTATTTTGATTGACTAATTGCTAGGACATGGAGTCTATTGTAGAGACCATGATGCAGCAGCTTCTTTCAAAGGAAATTCTTCATGAACCTATGAGAGAAATTGGAGAAAGATATCCAAAATGGTTGGAAGACAATAAAGCCAAGTTAAGCGGTGAAGAATATGATCGTTACAGGCAGCAGTATGAACTTATCAGAGATCTAAACAAAGTTTATGAAACTGAGCCAAGCAACTTCAACAAAATTGTTGAGCTTATGCAGAAAATGCAAGAATGTGGCCAACCACCAAACGATATAGTGCAGGAACTTGCTCCAGACTTTGATATATCAACTCTTGGACAACTGTAAGTGCTCTAGCATCTTCAGAATTCCATTCAAATTAAGTTGTCTGGGTGTTGATCTATCGGTAGCAGTTAATTGCTGGAATCATGCCCTTTTTCCTTGTTTTACCTGGAAATTTTAGGCATTTAAGCTTTTGGCCTATACAATTTGCCTAAAGAGGATGGACGTAAAGCATGCATGCAAGTATCTTTTATAGTCTATATTAGATATAAGCGCTGATCATGTGTGTCAACTGTATTACCTTATGATAGGATCCTATTAAAGCCGGAAAGTTCCACTTCTTGGCTCAAACTTTTTGACTAAACAAACCATTCCTACAAAACTCAACTGCAGTCTGATCAAGATATCCTTTTTTCTTGTGATACCGTTAACACCGCTTTATGTGGACCTTAGATTAAACCACCATAAGATTTCTGTTAATCTTGACGCTGAAGGGTGGAGATATTAAGTCTCAGTCCCATTGTCTCAATTTATGTGACACTCTTTTTTTAGTCTGTCCCAAAAAGAATGTCACCTTTTTATTATTAGAAACAACTCAACTTTAATATTCCCCAATTGCCCTCAATAAAATAAGTTGTAGCCACAAAAATGTCTAAGGTTTGTTTTATACCCACAATTTTCTCTCTTTTTCTTGAACTTTGTGCTTTAGTCAAAGGGTGCCACATAAATTACGACAGAGGGAGTACTATTTACTGGGAAAACCTATTGAGGCAAGTTAATCAAACAATACAGATGAGGAAAACAATATTTTGGTGGTTGCACAATGGTTGCAATTTTCAACTAGGATGTTAATGGACGTGCTTGTTAATACCTCCAGCTTCAACAGTAAAAAGTCCATGCAAATATGGAAGCGTGCAGATATTTGTAAGGGTTTTTGCTGATTTGCTTTAACCTTATGGACAGCAAGCATGTGCACTTCTCGACCACCCTTTCTCTTCCCTCTTCTGTAGAGAGCTACATTATGAAGTTCAAAGTTATCTTTGGACTGTATCCTGTGTGACAACTATCCCAGTTTCAAAAGGGAAAACAGCTGGGTAAAGAACCTTGTGATACATTATAAAGGAAGAACAAAATTGATGGCTTATGTTAGAAAATGAGGAGAATTCCTCAGTCTATCCACCATCTTTTTGATGATATCTGAATCTTTGGTGCTAACCCACGTTTCTTGGAAATGAGCCCTCTTCTTCATTTGAAGACGTTTTTGTTTTCATGTCTTATCACTGTATCTGCATGAAAATGAAACCCCTGTAACTGTTTTGATGTTTCGAAGTATCTTTAATTGTGATTGAGCAGTTTTTCTTCTTATGGTTTACAGATCACCGGAGATGCTCGAGTCCCAACAGAACTGCTGTATTATGTGAAGACACTGGGCTCGACCATCCTGATGTCCACCTTGCTCCTTAAGTTGGTTCTTTTACCATTGTAAACAATATACATATAGAACACGGGTTATTGTTTGTATGGAATTTGATTGTGGTTCTCATCTTTCTAATAAGCATTGATATGCATTTTTTTCTTTCCTTTTGGCGATCGTTATTGCATGCCTTTCCATAAATGACATGCTTCAAGATTCTGGAGATGGTGGACAAAGCATTGACAATTCTTTAAATGCATGAATAAGGTAAATAAATAATCTCATACTTTTGTTCTTTACTGATTTCACCGTAAATCCATGAATAAATTTTGAAAAACCTATTACACATACATTTTAGCAACAGAAATAATCTTTTTCGTGGAGTAGCATTCAAGAGACCAGAGATGGTTCATGTACAACACAAACATACTCCCAATTCTAAACTCACTCACAGAATTCGTTCCTAATTAAGAGCACATACTGAAGCAGCAAGCGCAGACTCCAAGTCTCCCAAGCAAAAAGTTTGGAGATGTTTCTGAAGTATTAGTTCTCCTGTTGATTGCTTCAACTTATCGAATTTCAATAGAGTTTGTTAGAACCAGCAGGTGCTGTAGATTCACTTATCTTGGGCAAGAATCCTTCCCTCTCAAGTGAAACATGAAGAGAGCACTTGATTTTAACCAATGCCATCCATAATGCTGGGGAGGCACAAAAGGCGTATGTAAATACAGCCATTGCTCTTACAACACCGTCGTTGTACCAAGGGTAAGCCATCACTAAAAGTGCCCCAAGGATTCCAACCCATGGCACTAAAACAGGTAGCATCGGCAAAAGAAATGCATTCACTGTTATACATGATAGTGAAAAAGAGCCGAGTAAGTAGAGACTCCAGCCAACTAGTGGATGAACTGTACATGGAATCACGAAGAAAGGAACTGTGTAGGCAGCAAGAATAGACCATATCGCAATCAATTTAAGGCCAGTTCGTAGTAACAAGGCACTCTTGCTATCATCATGGCGATAGCACAACTTTGATAAATTTGGGCGTGCTAGGCGTGTCACTGCAATTATTCCTAGGTAGAATATAGATTGGATCAGTACTGCTATCATCTCAGCACCGTACCTGCCAAATATCAAACAGGTGAATTGATGCTATTGAGAAGTCTCAAGTTATAACCAAAAAGTACATCAAATCCTGCAGATTCAGGGTGCACTTCACGAAGAAACTAGCGCGAGTAACAGGAAGAGAAGAAATAAAAGAAGAAACTGATTGGCAATAACAATTTCTTGAGTAAGATGATCAACTTTCAGGTATAAATCACACAAAGCAAAAAGAGTTCTAAACATATTACAAAGCAAAAAAGGTTCTAATCTTACCCAACAGTTAGACGTCGCTGTTCATGCCACTGGATGCCCAAAGGTAAGACAGGCCATGACCACCAATACCATGGTTTTAACCATGGAGCACCAGGAAATGTAATGACACTATTAGGTCCACAAGGTACCGACCAGTGGAGTTTGAGATCTATAGAAATAAAAGTAGACAATCATTATAACTTGTGAAATATGATGAACTTTGTTCAGATAACACGCTCAGAGTCTCAAACTTACAATAATAAGACGCGTCCATTTGATATCCTAGAGGAAGCCTGTAACTTCCCTGGAGCTGCGTACCATTAAGAGTAGGGTGGAACATCGGCCGATCAAGTAAATCAGGGAAGTGACCTCCAATAAAACCTTGGTCTGCACCGTCTTGATTTTCCCTCCCAATCTCTATCTCATGAATCATGTCATTGAACACCATTTTTGATGGCTGCAATTTAGCTTTTGTAAGTAAAATTTAGATTTCAAAATCTATGCCCATATCTATAGTGATACAAGAGGAGTAGCTATCATTAGCAAATTAATCTGTCAGGAAAAGAATACTATTGAAGATCGAATTCTGTTACCTGTAAGACGAAGAGACCAGTGTGGAAGATGCAGGGATTGATGAAGACAGCACAAAACTGGCCACATTGGAACAGTTCATCAGTTTTCTGGAGGAAAAGGTTATCTGCATCAAGCATGACAACCCTGTCATAATCCACGAGGCTCCACGCATAAAGTTTGTTCAGTGTGAGCTTGAATCTCCAATTAGGGTTGATACAATACGGATTGTTCAGATTTTTAACTCTCACTACCTTTGCACCATCTTCCTGTTCTCTGCATACCAAGAACATAACGGATTACTACTTCATTTTCAAGGTTCATATAGTTTTTACATGTCATGGATACCTTTGCACACATGTCCCCCACAAGTGACTACGTGCATCATCTAAGTTTGAGGTCGTTATATGAACCCTAATTGTCCTTATCGCGACATTTAAAATCATCTCATTCCAATAATAACTTTGGTAAACCATCTTATCTAAAATTGAAACGTAACAAATGAATTTATTCAAGTTGCAGGGTAAAATGACTGCTAGGTGCATCAAATAAGCGATCACCTATCAGATGAAATTGTTCATTGGTTAATACTAATCCTTTCACAATATAATATTCATAAATCACGACATAGCTACAATTCAATTGCTAGATTTTTAAACATAACCTGAGATACACCACTTTAGATCCCCACTATGGTATGGAACCTGAAATAAGCTCACTTAAAGTATTACCGAAAGGCAACATTGTATAAAACACAAAGTGCAAACAAATATTCTAATGAAGTGGATACTTTTGATTACTGTTAAGTAATAACCTGCCTACTCTGCTTTCTAATAATGTACCAAAAGAAAGAAGAATAAACTAGTAACTTCATCTGTATATAACAACAATAAAAAAATCCGTGTGTAGTTCACAAGCGAAATCTAAAAAGGTTGATGTGTACATAGCCTTAATCGTGTCAAATAAATAAATTAAAATAGTTTAGTGTACTAGATAGAATAAACACATGACATATGGACCATTAGAACTCGTAGATTGGTTCATACTTAGGCAAGTCTTATTATGTAACAAGAAATACAACTTTTATCTGGAGTATTAAGTGTTCTTTAATCCTCTGAAGAATACACTTGTTCCATTTCAATTTATTTTCATGCTTTTCTTTTAAGTTTATTTCAGATACAATGCATTCTTCCTTTGTTGTATATATAAATTTTATATTAAGTTAAAACTAGATATAAATTAAATCGATCGGAGTATCATTCTCGGGTCTACATTCAGTAACCAGTCACATGATCCAGCAGTGCTTTGAGCGACTTCCCAAAAGCATTGAAGTGGCAATATATTATTATATTATATGTGGAAAGAACAAATTAAAGGGCAAGGTGCACTTCCAAGAAGCAACCCATCCAATCAAAACTTGGCTCTGTGTCAGAAAATTTTTATCTTTATTCTACTTATATGTCAGATAGCACTATAATTTTGAAATAAACCACTTTTTTACTACAAAGTTATCACTTTTTTTTCTTTTACAACCAAAGTGATATGCACGATTTTCAACTCAATGATAATATGTTTGTCCAAGAGATAATATTTTTGGTGACTTAGACCAAAGGCTTGGAGCACTATTATCATATTTTTGCTATTCTTATCTTATAAATCATAAAAAAGAATGAGGTTGAAACTATTTAATATAATTATCATCCAAATTTACGCCAATTAATCAGTTTCTAATTAGGTATCCTTTATTTTTAATTAATATAAAAGTCGCATGGGTAAGAAGCTCCGAAGCATACTTTTAATACGAATTTAAATTAGTTCGATTCTAAAATAAATATGAAATACCAAATAAGAAATCAAATCAAATAAATTCTTATCATGTATTCCTAAAAAAGCTAAAACAAATATCCTAACTATATCACCTCTGTCTTTGATTGTCGTCACATAGCATGAAACAGTTAAAATATCTTGGCCGTGCCAGCGTATGTTTAAGCTGGCAAAAATAAAATTAACCAAATTGCCAATTAGTTTCCTAATTTGCCCCTCCCTATTACCTGTACCAAAGCCATAACGCAAAATTCTTATTTAATTAGGCAATTACAAATAAGATGGCTTCCACGTCACCCAATTATAATCCTTATCAAGTCTTTGGCTTTTTAATCAGCTTGGCGTGGGCCCAACAAGCACAAAGCACAAGCTCAAAACCCCAAAAGTAGATGACAATGCTACCAAATTATTCAAATAGCTAAAACAAGTGTTGAAAAAAATATCAAGGTGACAAATTGTAGTCAAGACTCAAGGTGACAAATTGTAGTTTTCTCGAGAGGGTTACGAAAGAGTGGCAAGTAATTTTTTATCAATATTTGAATCTAGTCTGACTAACAAATATAACACCCTACAACGAGGTTCATAACAAGCAAGTTATAATTGTAAATAAGAATAGAAGTATTTTTATGAGGTACGTTTTAATAAATGTAATATTTTTTTTGGATTTTTTTTCTTTTTTAGTATTTTTAAAAAAGAATGTATTTTTTATCTTTTTTGATAATATTTTAATTTCAGCTTTTCACTCGTAATGTTTAAAATTACAAGACAATTTTATACATTTGACCCAATTTTAATTTAAGATTATAAAATTTAAAAATTATAAAAAATTCTTAAATTTTGTGCCAATTCACTCTTCAAAATATAAAATTACCAGATTCATAACTATAGAACCAAAAATGACTGGAAAAGTATATTTTTCGGGCAATTAGGTTATGTATCATATCTAGGTGGTACCTGAGAGCCACGCCCAAGGTGACAGCGCATTTTAGCAGAAAACCACCAAAAGATAATAAACAGAGAAAAGGAGAAAAAATGAAAACTTACAGAGTTTGAACCCAGTGAAGAGGAACGTCAAGTGAAGCAATAACAACGAGGAACGTCAAGGAATGTTTATAATTTGATTAATAATTTCTGATGTTACAACTAAAAAGAGTAATTAATTATATCATAAATTTTTAATATTATGATTAATATGAAAAATTATGCTAAAAATAACAGTAATGCAAGTGGATCATTACGAATTGAGATGGAGTAGTTTTGAATATTTGTGAAAAAAGACAAAATTGGGAAGACGCAAGTGGAGTAGGAAGCACCGCAGTAATTGTGATTTGTGTGCCTCCTGCCAAACTATTTCTTTGACATTTTTGGTAATTACATCATTATTTTACTTTTAATATTAATTTATATATAAATTTCAAAATAATAATAATAATAATAATAATAATAATAATAATAATCTACGAAATATTGTTTAATGGCTATTTTATTGCATTTTAATATAAGCTGGGAAATTTTTGATTTTATATATCCTGTTTAGTCTTTATTGTCATGATTACATTTAGATTTAATGGATATTTATGATGATTAATGTGAAGATATTTTTTTCGTGTACGTTCGTATTCGAATTTAGATATGTCTTAGACTATAAGAAATTGTTTGGTTTGAATATGAGTTATAATGGAATAAGTTATGTTGAGATCAGTTATGATGATGTAAATTGTGCTGAGATTGTTTTCTATTTATTATTTGATTTGTGATATTTAAAATAATATAAATTGATAATTTTTTAGAATAACTAATTTATTTTACAAAATTATCCTTCACTTTATTTAATTTTTTTATATTTTCTTTGCTAACTTTAGTTATTCACTTTTTAAAATAAAACTTTTATTTTATTTAACATAAATATTTTTGTTTATGTATTCCCATGATAAGTTATCTCGAAATAATTATACCACCCAATATAAGAGATAACTTATCTCGGTACTAATTCATAATCTTGAGATAAGCTATCCCAAGCTTTCCAACCAAACAAGGAAATAAAAAATGCTAAAAATTTTATCGTGAAATTAACTCTCCTTATCCATGACCCCAGACAATCCCTAAATTCTCGAAGTTCTTTTCACTTCAATATATAGAGATTGATCTATTTTCTACGGGATTTTCTATGAAAATGACTATTATCAAATTATATGCACCTAGTTTATTATTAGAAGGACTTGCTAAAGCATAAAAATATATTTAAACCAGTGAAAATTCTTAAGAATAGTGTCGTGACATATTGCAAGCTACGAACGTTTCCGTATTTTACATCAAAGGGTACCTTTCGAATGTTACTCAATTAATTAGTTCGAAAAACATTCTTCCCTCATAAAATATGGATGAGGTAATTTAGTGATTCATTAACAATTTTTTCAGTATAATATCAAGTTGTTTTTGAGTTTAAACTCTATGATAAACATTTTCACGTTATAAGATAAATCACATTTAATAATTATTTTTGAAGAGTTTAAGATTTGTAAGTATATATATCTTGGTTAAATGAGGATATTTGATTATAGCTAGCTTGATGATAGACAGGATATTCGTTTAATTATAGAGCATCAAAATATCATTCATATTTGACTTTTCATGTGTATAGATCAACGGAAAATATATAAATTTAATATTTTGTACTTGTATGTATCAGCCGAAAATATATAGATTTAATATTTTGTACTTTTGTTTGGGTTCAATATTTAATTTTTGGATCTAGGAATTTCATTACTGGGAATATATATAATGTAGCTTTGACAATATAATATCATACAAATACATATATAATTGATGATCAGTTACGATTCAATGATTTGTTTAAATAATTAGTAGTTGATTGAACATGTTATATTAATTATGCGCCAATAGTACTTATCAGCCTTTAAATATTACTACTTGGCAAAAAATATATATTTGTTTTTCATTTCCTTGATTGAGTTCTGAATTTTGGAAATAGCATGTGAACATAGTACATAGTAAACGTAAGAAATACCAACAACAAATAAGATACTAGTAATTAAATTACAAAGTGAATAACGAAAGAAGAGACAATATTCCAGAATATTTTATTCCGGTTTGATTATGTTAATATTTAAAATGATACATATACATTTTTTTTAAAGCATTTCATTTTCACAAGAAGTAAAAGTCAGATTGTCAAATATAGTTAAATTAAAATCTTTCAATAATCGAACTCTCCCTTATTATCCTAAATAAAATAATTGATCAAGTTGAAGTGTGACCACATATATGCACAGCGCCATCATTATCTGCAATAAAAGCTAGTGCAAATGATTAATTAATTGTTGTTTTGATCGTAATTTATTAGAAACACACACGGTTTCACTAATAAATTAATACTATATTTAAATTACTCTTTCAAGTTTCAACAACCCATAGAAACTAAGAAAACCCAAAAAGGAACATTTCAAGTCAAGGGTACTTATTCATTAATCTACACACCGCGTTTGAATCCGAGGTGACCAGATCCAAATAAATCCATTTTCTTCACAAGTTGTAAACATATCTCTATTTCCTACCCGTCATTAAAAAAAAAAAAAGTCTCGTACACCTGATTAAAATCATTATATTTCCAACATTCAAACAACAAGGTAATTTTTTTATATTAATTTATATGTTTGCACCATAATATCAATAATTATATTATGAAAGATATAAAATTATGTTGTATATTGAGAGCACAATATATTTCTCAAAAATATAAATAATAATGAACCCACATACGCATGTATCCTATCATCTCATATTAGTTATTTTTTTTTTATGTAAAACACATAAAAGAACATATGTGCAAAAAGCATATATATCTCTAATTTCTGAAAACTTAAACACAAATTTTAAAATACTATGCAATTTATATTGCATAACTTAATTCTTATAAAACATATGGCAAATGAGAGAAAAAACATAATTTCAAAAAGATAAAATATTCTAAACATACAATGTCAGAATAAATTCTGTATGAATAGATAGAGATACTTTGATCCACAAATTTTTCTTAAATGAATAACAAGCAAAAATTAAATAGCAGTCCATTTAAGAGGTAATCCATGCAAAAACTTATAAAATTAAAGGGTGAACATGGTATTGACATATGGGGTGAAGCAATTGACTAGGGTTTATTCACTGAAATGTTCATATCATAGAGAAGTCTTTTAACTTTTTACCTCCCAAAGCCATGTTTGGATGAGCTTCAAAGTTAGTCAAACTAATTTAAAAGTCAGTTTTTAATTTATTAGAGTGTTTGATAATTATCAAAATGATTTATTTTAAGTATGATTTATTTTAAGGCAGAAGCTAAAAGTTAGGTGAGAGTATTTTTTTTTTTAACTTAAAAGTCATTTTATGTTGACCAAGTATATTATTTTATTACCCCTAATTCCTTTTTTTAATTATTATTATTAATTATTATTGTTATTTTATTGTTATTATATTTATTATTAATTTTTTAAAATGTCAATATTTTAGCATTTAAGAGGACTCATTAGCAACAATTTCAATATTTAGTAAAAATGTCATTTAGTTTGTTATGTATCTTATTTATGTTTTTATTATTTATTTTTATTTAAAGAATATAATTATTTAATAACAAAAAGGAGAAAATTAAGGAGAGAATATTTCAAAAAAGGCAAGCATCCTTAATTTTCTCATCAGTTACATTTTCAAATAAAATTTAAATTTTGTTTTTTTTCTCTAAAATTTTTACCTTTTTAAAATTATATTCATTCCACAATATATTCTATTTATATTTATTATAGTTTTTTATTAGTTTGTATTCATTCCGATAGGAATGCCGAATTAATCTATATAGTCATTTAAGAAATATATTTGTATTTTCATATATTTTTTCCCTATATAGTTTTTTCTTCTTCAAAAATCCTGTATGTATTCATTTCAATGTGTATTTTATTTGTATTTCTATTTATTCTAGTTTTTATTTAGAATTTTGTATAATAATATATAAAATACAAAAAATTAGTAAGATGAAAAAGTGAATGAAATATAAAATTTGAAAAGAAATAATTGAATATTTGGTGTACTCATTCTTAAATAAAATACATAACTAGTTGACATACCTTTAGAATAAATACAAATTAGAAAAAAATATCAAATTCAGTTGACATATCTTTATTAGTTTGTATTCATTCCAATATGTATATCAAATAAAATGTAGCTATTTAATAAATACATTTGTATTCGTATATATTTTTCATTGTGTATTTATTTTTCTTTTCAAAATCTTGTTTCCTTTTCTAAGTCATATTCATTCTAATATGTCTATTATTTGTATTTGTATTCGAATATAAATAAACTAATAGAAAGTTGTTCTTCTTATAAATAAAATACATAACTAGTTGACATACATTTGGATAAATACAAATTAGGGACAAATACAAGATTCATAAACCATGCAACATGCAATTTTTAATAAATACAAATATTGATAGTATACATAGTGATTTGAATACAAATTAAGAAAGCATACCAAATTCTAAAAAAGAACTATAAATACAAAACAAACTAATAGAAAATTCTTCGACAACTATCCGATCTTCGTCGTCTTTTTCAAGATCCTCACGAGTAGACAAAGATTCCACATTTCCGTTCTGAATTTGAGGAAGGTTTTGCACACCAATGAGTCTTGTAAATGTTCTTACCCTCTTTCTTCCCTCATTTTAGCAGCGGATCATACATTATACACTATTTGTTAAGTAATAAATAAATTAAAGGATGAAAAATCACCAGAAATTGGTTGATTAAGATGAATACCTCTAGTAAGCCTCTTGGATTCAGCCATTGGAGAGTAAATCATAACGGAAATTGAAAAATACAAACAACATTTTTTTAAGATTTAAAGAAAAATAAAATTAGAAAAGAAATCTGAAAATAGGATAAAGATTAGAGATACCTTAATCAAAGAGATTCTTGTTGATTCAATTTTGGATTAAAAAAATAACCAAAATATATGGCAAAAAAATATTTGCAACTTGAATGTTGGAGGAAAATGAGAAAAGATAACCATGAGAGAGAAAAAAAATTACAATTTGAAAAGATAAATATGAGAGAGAATGATTTTTTTTTAAAAAAAGATATATAGAATTAATTGAAAAAGAGAGATAAAATAGGAAGAAAATTGGGACACATAATTTTTTTAAAATAATGACATTTTTGACATTATTGCTAATATTTATAAAGTATGAATATTTTTACTAAATATGTTATTTATTTTGACTAATTTACTAATTTTTCCAAAAAAATTCCCCAAAACAAAACCCTCTTTTTTCTCTTTTCCCTTCATGTTATACAATCTATTCTTCTTTTCTTCAATTTCTCCTTAATTATCTCCACAAATTCAATTTCACATTTCCAATTTCTCTAGCACGTCTTTCGGTTCACTAAAGTATTTCAAAAACTTTACGTAGAGCCCAAAAACTCATCTCACTTTATCAATTGTTGTTTATTTTTTTCAATTTCTTCAAACTAATTTTTCACTTCACTTCATAATCCCTTTAGATTTTTTGTTCAAACAATGGATGTTCAATCTCCATCGAAGAGATTCACATGACGTATAATTTTGAACACCCATCGTTTTTCTTGGGTCTAACTCAGAATTTTGGGAAGATTTCAGGTTCAATGTCTAAACCGAACACCATGCAAATGATCAAATTCAAATTGAGGAATGACCCAACTAGATTTGTGGATGGAGGTGTGAAAGATCATGCCGATGTTGTTGATGGGTCAAGTAAGAAAATGAAAGTTGAAAATGAAGCTCTTGGTTCTGGGTTATTTGAACATCATAAGGTATTTGTATAATCGTTGTCCATATATTTCAATTTTATATTATATTTATATTTTTGTTTTGATTCATGTATTATACTGTTTGTTTATACAATTGTGGTTGTATAAATATATAAATGTATAATCTATCTTAGTATCTGTTTTGTGTTTGTGTTGATTCATGTTTTATGTAATTGTGATTTTATAAAATATAATCTTAGTATCTGTTTTTGTGTTTGTGTTGTTTGTTTATACAGTTGTGGTTGTACAAATGTATAATCTATCTTAGGTATATGTAAACTAAATAGGTATATGTATAGAGCTGACAAATTCGTATAAACATATAACAGTTTCATACACTTATACAACAGTTTCAGCCTTTACATACACAAATTAAAGCTTTATACAAATATACAATTCACGAAAAAAACATGAAATAGGTATATGTATATAACTGACGAATTCGTATAAACATACAACAATTTCATACACTTATAAAATTCACCAAAAACAAATAGGTATATCTATATAATTGACAGATTCGCATAAACATTCAACAGTTCAATATATTTATACACTTCGTATAAACTGACAGTTTCAATAGCTTGATCGATTTTTTGAACGGATTAAAATGGAGTTCTTTTGATTGAATAAGACGAAGAAGGAATGAAATTATATTGAAACAGAATCTGCGTGATTGCTGGGATTTTTTTCCTTTTTCATCTAAAGGAAGTTATAACCCTTTTTAATTTAAACAATTAAAATGTATAAATCATACAAAAAGCACATCCGTAGCAAACTACAATTTTGCTACGGAATGGAATTTTGAAAACTTTGTCAAACGCACAAAATTCTTAATTTAATATTTGCTATATATAAAATTTGCCCTAATTTTTATTATTGTTATTATTATTTATTTTATTATTATTTATTTTATTATTATTATTATTTTTATTATTATTATTATTATTATTATCATTTATATTATTATTATTATTATTATTATTACTATTATTATTATTATTATTATTTCTTATTTAATTATAATTTTTATTATTATTATTATTTTATTATTATTTATTATTATAATTATAATTATTATTATTATTATAGTTTCTTATTTTATTTTTATTATTATTTTATTATTTTCTTATTTATTATTATTATTATTATTTTCTTATTTATTATTATTATTATTTTCTTCTTCTTCTTCTTCTTATTATTATTTTCTTATTATTATTATTATATATTATTATTATATTATAATTATTATTATTATTATTATTTATAAATAATTTGTGATGATAAATAAATATGTGAATGATAGGAATGTTATTATGTAAAATATAAATTAATTTTGTTTTATTTTTTTTAAAGTATAAAAACCTTACGTTAATCAACTTTTTATCATGTTAACAGGGCATTTAAAATTTTGATTAAAAAAAGTGATTACCAACACTTATTTATCAAACACATCAACAACTTTTTTTTCAATTTCAGGACTTTTATCCAAACACATAACTACTTATTTTAAAAATAAGTTTCACACTTTCAAAAGTATTTTTTAAAAATTGCTTTTTGTAAGTCAATCCAAACGGACTCTCAAATATGTGACTGTAAATATTTGTTCTTTTAACACTATAGTAATAAGACAAAAATAACCCTATTATTGAAAAGAAAAAAATCTAAAAAGGAAAACAAAATTCGCAAGACAATTATTTTTGCTAGGCACATGTTATTCTCTATATATGATATAAGTTTAGTGGTAAGAAATTATATCTTAAAACATTAATGTATAAATTTCTAAAAGAGAACTTATGCCGTTCATGACATAACTTGTATATCTTGGAACATAAATTTAATTTATAACAGTATGCCTTAAAAACTTCATGCATTGAACTTATCTTGTAGGCATAACTTGTGCTTTGAAGAAAACAATGGACCACATTTTTATCACAAAGTTAGATTGCTAATTATGAAATAGTGGCTAAAAAACATATTTTTATGATGTCCATAAGCTTATGCCTATTTATATTTGTTGGGATATTTGGAAGACATATGTAGAGCTTAATATGGTCATCTTTTGCTAGAATTCTTTATGCTATCAACTATATATCATATTCACAGTTTTGAATATAGTCTTTCTATGTATATAGTTTTTTTCAAGGATGAGGCTCCCTTTGAATCATCTATTTGATGTGTTTTAGGTCTCTAACTTAGACCTCACATTGCAAAGCTTTTCTTTCTTTCTTTCTTTTCTTTTCTACCTATCTAGAAGTGTGAGTTTCAACGTGTGTGTTTATAGTCATATTCATATTTGATTAGGGTATTTTTGTCATATTACATTAATTTTTTCTTTCTACCTATGTAGAAGTGTGAGTTTCAACGTGTGTATTTATAGTCATATTCATATTTGATTAGGGTATTTTTGTCATATTACGTTAATTTTTTCTTTCTATTCTACCTATATAGAAGTGTGAGTTTCAACGTGTGTTTATAGTCCTATTCATATTTGATTAGGGTATTTTTGTCATATTACATTAATTTCCATGGTTTAACTTCATTACACGTGGATTATACGTGTCCTTCACCCCCACTTCCGCTCCTTTTATCAAAAGCTCAAAGCTTTCTTCAACTTTCTCAGACTCGAAGTTGCTGCACTTCTAAGGTACGATTCGTTGTTCTTTTATTTAGTTGAATGGTTTCATATTTTTCTTCTGTTTTCTCTTTATCTTTAATTTTTTCTTCAGTTTTTTATGTTTTGTTGAATGGGTTTATGAAAGTTTTTTACACATACATAGGTAAAAAAAAGAGTTCGCAGTAAGCAAAGGAGAAAAAGAAGATGGGTTCTTATTTATGTACTTGACAATTCTATGGGTTTTGAAATTTTGGTGCTTACAAGTTTTATTTAGGTTTACGAAGTTTTCAGTTTTTTGTTAGTCACAATTCAATGAGAACCAAAATTAGGGCAAAAATTGAGTTACAAGCCTGCCAAATATTTACTACTCAGAATAAAAAGGCGAGCACAACTTAAAAGAGCAATCCTTGAAAATCTAGAGGATTAATCTTTAATTAACATTTGACCATGAATATAGAAAGAAAGTGGTTCTTGATTATCAGTAAAAGGCCAATTATATTATGAAACAAAGATGTCGAACAGAAACTATAGTACCCTTCTTAATTACTTATTCATTTTTAAATTGTTACACCTATTATAACAATAATGATTAACATATTAAATTTATCATTTTATCTATATTACTTATGAAGCATATAAATTTAAAACATAAGATTTTCAACAAATTTTACTTTTTTAAAAATAATTAATTGAGGATATAATAGATAATTTTTTTTAGGGATAATAATATAAAGCAAATATAGTAGTTACCATTTGATTTATTTGTGTTCCACATCAAATTATTTGTCATTCCCTCTCTCCCTCATATTCTCGCTCGCCACTCTTCATCCTCTCTTTCGCTTTCTTCGCTCGTCTCTCTCGCTTTATACCATAGAATTATATAAATTGTGCTTTTTATTCTATAAAGCAATAGAAAATTATGTACACACATGCAAATATATATATCTCTATCTTATACACTTACAATTATACAATAAAAGCATTTTTCTGCTCAAGTTTTTTTTATCTTTTCTCTTTCTCGTTTTATACAAATTCAAATTATAGATAATTTTTCTCTCGTTTTATACAATTTCATTTAATTGTATAGTCCCCGTCCAAGTCTCTTTTGCCTTTCTTCCTTTCTCGTTTTATACAAATAAATTGTATATAATTGTCTTATGCACTTATAATTATACAATTTATTTTATATACTTCATTTTATACAATTTTCTGTCCAAATCTCTTTCTCTTTTTCATTTCGTACACCCCGTTTTATATAATTTGCTTCAATTGTATATGTATAGCGAATTATATATATATATATATGTTTGCTATGGAGCGTATTGTGTGAACTTTATTATATCATACAAATATAAATTTTATATTTGTTATTTATATAGGTGAAGATTGTTCTTTTTCTTATTTTTTCTTATATTGTCAAAAATAGATAAGCAATTAAAAATAACTAAAATTAAAAATAAACAAGTAATAAAAGAAGAGAGTAAAAAGATAAAATAGGAGATGTAGAGGTTTGTGTTTCATTGGCTTTACCCAAAAGTCGGGCACTGAGTCAACTCCATAACATAAATAAATAATACTCCTTCTGTCCAAGTTATTCATTATTGAGCGCAACTTTTAGAAGAAACAAAAAATAATAGAGTAATTTATAAAATTATCCTTTAATTTTATTAAATTTGATGTATTGAGAAGTGTGTTAGATGAGTCTAGTAATATTTAAGTTAAAATAGATAAAATATAAGTGTTTATATGTTGATTCTGTAAATTGAACAAGTATGATTGGACCAACACAATTATTAAAAGAAAAGTCAACTAAACAAACATTTCCATTAATTAATGTGTTGTATTGGGAAAAACTTGACAAACAACTACAAGGAAAGTGCTTGGAAATTCTTAAAGAGAGCCCAATCAAGTCGGCATAATTTTGTGTGGAATTGAATGCACAAATTAAGATCAGCAGCTTCCCACTTGTTCATAGCTTCTAGTTACTTGTAAATTAGATGGTGATGCCTTTCTTCAGGGTACTCGCAACAACGAAAAATCTTCTCTCCTCTGCTTGTGCTGTGAGGCGGAAGAAAGAGCATGATTGTTATTTAAAGAACGGCAGTGCGGTGCTTGAGGAGTTTCTTGCTTTATGCGATGGAAATTGCAGAATTCCCATCCGTTACTTCTCTGCCGTAGAGATCAACAACGCAACAAAACACTCTAAAACCATAATATTGGATGTGTATGTGGTTACGGGCTTGCTTGAAGAGGATAATGTACTAGATCCCATCATTTTAGAAGAACATGGAACTGAGATTCAACGACAGTTGGAAGACTACTTGGACCTTGTTAAAAAATGCACAGCTGATGATAGACCCTACATGATTCATGTCGCAAGGGAATTGTGTCGAATGGAAATGTCTTTCCGCTCTTGCTCAAAATGAAATGTTATATCTTAATTCTTTGAACTATTTATATTATGTTTCTATTCAAAGGAAATTCAGTTTGTTTGTACCCTTGAACAAAAAATGATATCACAGATAATGAAATTGCCACTTTGATCTTAATTTTGCTCTATTTTAGAATGATTACTTCGGTTTACCGAAAGAAAGAAATGATTAAATACACACGGTTTCACTTATTAATTTATTTAAATTTAAAATTGAACTCTTTCAAGTTTCAACAACTTTTAAGTCAAGGGTACCCGTACCATTCATTAGTCTACACGCTGCCTTTAAATTTGATTTGAGACGATCAAATTCAAAAATTAAGCTAATAATAAAAATTATGTTAATTTGATCTAAATATTCGATATAAATAAAAAAAATTAAATATATTTTTCACCCACCAATGTTACTAGTCAACTTATTGATTTTACAAAAATTAGGAGTCTCGTGCACCTAATTATATGGTTTATGTCATAAAGTCGTTATGTTTGTCATATCGAAATAGCAAAGTAATTTTTCCGTTATTGTTCAATATTAGTTTATATGTTCGTATAGTAATATCTAGAAGTAATGTTATGAGAGATATAAAATTATGTTGTATGTGTAATGACTCACTAGATCATTTGGAATTCTCCTGTAAATTTTAAATTGAAATTTGGAATTTATTTGTTTTACTATAGTTATTAAATTAACATGTATTTGTCAAATAATTAATTTTAATAAGTCATAAAATCTAAAATAATTACAAGTTCATATCCAAATTCAAAGTAATTTCTGAAATACTCGTTTTCTCATTAATGTTATTTATTCAGAAATTACTCTTTAGTCAATGATATTATACTCCCTTTATTTCATAATAATTGAATTTTTGAGATGTCTCACGCCCTTTAAGAAAGTAGACTAAGACATAAATTGAACATAATTTTTCATTTTTACCCTTATTTATTATTGTCAAATTATTGAAGTCATCACATTGGAAAATCAAATAAATGCTAAAATTAGAAGAATATTTTAAAAGGGAAGTGTTTAATGGACGGAAAATAAAAAAAAGTTATAATATTTTTTTTTGTTTTAATATAAACTGATGTTTGTCCATTTTTAGTTAAAATGTATTAAAACTAAAAGGTAAATGTTTAAAAAAGTAAAATAACATAGATAAACTATTATTTTGACCAAAAAAATTGTTCCATTTTAAAAATAATCTTAAAAATAAAATAATTAAATTAATTTGAAAAATGAAAAAATATCTCAAAAATGAAAATAAATGCACAATAGAAGAGTATCCCGCACTGAAATTTTGTGAAGAAAATCAGAAAATAACAAGCAAAGCAATTTGACAGCCCAAACAAAATTATCTATACTGCTGTCTTTTTGTTAGAAGTGCTTTTGAAAAAATTCTAATAATTGTATTTGACTTATCAATGCAGTAAAACATGCCGATGTGTCTATAGTTATGGGATCGCTAGACAACCGCCCTGTTTTAATTTACATGTGAATTCAACAATATCCACCGAGATATAGCAATTACTGCTCAGATGAGTCAGAATTTGAAGAAGCAGTTATGGTGTATGAATATGTTAGAAGCTATCTCTTCAATTTTAACATTTTACTATATTTTTTAATTAATTTTTATTGGCCCACGGGCGGGTCCTATCGATAATTCTAAAGGCCCACAAATTAGAAAACTTATTTAGGCCGGGGTAAAAATAGATTTTTCTTAAATAGATTTCACAAATTTTAGTCCAACCCTATTAAATCTCAGGTTAGGCTAGGCGACTCAACGAACCTAACCCATATTGACAATATTTAATCAAGTCTTCTTTATTCAAGGCATCACTTCGATAGAGATGGTTTAAGATTATAAACTTCGTGGTCTCATGATTTCAGACCAAACACAAATCACACAATCACACAATCAAGTACATAAAGGACTTCACAATATCATTCAATGCATATCGATCACTATTAAGAGTCTGTCTATCAAATAAAATAAACTAAAACATACCTCCACCAAATAACCGAAGTCAAGCAAGCTACTTCTTCAATACTTTCTCTATACTCAATGCCTCCAAATCTTTCCAATGTATCAAGTATATATGCATAATTTGTAAGTTGACGAGTCTATAAGCACTCAAATTATTCAATGTCTAGCCTAGACCCAAAAATTCAATTAATACTATATATAATTAATTTCCTAAAATTCAAACCTAAGTATAAGTTTTAATTCATTCAATTTGCATAACCGTATTCAAATAATACAATAAACTTATAGTTTAATTACCTATATCAATATGAAAATTTAATTTGATATGATAACAAAAATAATAATATATAAATATGAAAACCACTGGGTTCGAAACCAGTGGCGGACTAATAACAACCCAACGTTCAAAACTCAAATTGATTAACAATTACACTAAGAGTGTGTTTGGTATGAATGAAAACATTTTCTGGAAAATAATTTTCTCATGTTTGGTTGGTACAAAAGTTTTGAAAAATGTTTTTCAAATCAACTCATTTTGCTCAAAATTAAGGAAAAGACTTCCCTTCAAAAATTAAGGAAAACATTTTCCAAAACTCTCATCCAATTTTAAATTTACATTTTTTTGGGGGAAAACAACAATTTAAAAAAAATTCAATTTTAAAATTTTATTTTTTTTTACCCTATCCCTGACCCCAACCCACTCACCACCGGTCAGCCCCCCTCCCCAACCCCAACCCTTCCCAAAAAAATAATTTTGCTTTTTCAAAATATTTTTAACTTCAAATTTTTATTTTTAAACTCCTCCCCCCCCCCCACCAATCCCCCCAAAAATTAATTTTGTTTTTTATAAATACTATAAAGTCCAAATTTTTATTTTTTCACTCCTAACCCCCTCCCCCTCCCCCTCTCCCCACCCCCACCCCACCCCAAATAAAAATTATTTTTAAAAATATTTTTAATTTTATAAATTATTTTCTACTCTAGTAAAAATAAAAGATGTCTCTCAAAAACATTTTTCATTCATAAATCAAACACTAAAATTTATTTCTAAAATATTTTTTCTACTCACCAACCAAATATGAAAAGATAAGTTTAAAATTTACTTATTTTTCAAAAAAATATTTTCTGAAAAAATATTTTCTATAAAAAACATTTTCATTGTTACCAAACACACTCTAAAACTTTA